CCTGGTGGCAGCAATCACCGTGAGTGGGCGACACGCGCGTCTCTTCTCTCTTCTCTCCTCTTAGGTTATCAGCCTGATGAGACACTCGCCGACCTTCTCCCTTCAGCCCCTTCCCCTCATTTTTTCCTTCTTTTCCGCGTTCGCGTCGGTAATCGCGTTTGAGTTACCGCGCTCTACCTACCCCTTCGCCGGCTTTATCACCGCACCGTTTCCCTTTTTCCTTTCTTCCCTTTTTTTTTTACGATCCAAACGCATCTACGCGTAACGACCACGACGTCTCGTCGTTCGAGCTGGTTTCTCGAACGCTCCGCGATCGAACGGCGTTATCCGTTGCGACGAGGTGACCAAAGAATAATAGAAGTCGAGATACGCGGAGTTGCGGAGCGGTACACGCATTAGCCCCGCGGGAAGCGTAAGTACGCTACTTACGCTAAACGTCCGCTCCGAGTTCGCCATATGACGCTACCGATCGTCGAGGGACTGGTAATGACGGCGCAGGGGACGCAACGTCCTTCGTGCGACACGCGGTTACGTCCTATAGACAGACGCCGAACAATTTGTATTGAAATGAGCTCTACCCTCTCGTCGACCAGCGATTTCGCGAAAAAGACGAAAGAGGAAAACCGCTATCGGTTGACGATACAACGCGGTGACGATTCGAGCTGTCGCGAACAACGAAGAGAAGAACGCGTTCGGATTTGGCTCGATCGTCGGAAACGGGGTTGTCTCGGTTCCACCGAAAGGCCATTTGCCTCGGTCGAAATCGGACGCATCTAGGCATCCTTACCCCCCACGGTTCGCTTCCATCGAAAATCCAGATCTGACTCGCGACCAACAGGACAAGGACGACGATCGGTTCGTCGTCGAGCGGACACGTTAAACGGGTATGCGACCCTCGTTAAGGATGGAAAGGGAACGCTATCCGTAGACGGTGCACGCGTGTACGCGCGATCACCGACGGTGATCAATCACGTTCAAACCGTGCTCGTACGATGCTGTCGTGCCACCAGAATCTGCCCGCTCGAAAGAGCTATCGTTGCCACCCACGTTGCGTCTTTCTCTCGGCTTCTGCTTCTTACCTCTGGCCGCAACGACCGCGGGCCTCTCCGCCCGTAGTAGGTACGCGCCGCCCTTGCAAACACCGACGAGCGTATTTTCCAATTTTTCTCTCCCTCTTATCGATTATTCGACCTCCTGCTTCCGGTCCGCTCTCTAAGCGACCCTAGTCTTGCCAATGATTTCCACGCGATATCGAGAGGCGAATCCCAGTGCGCACGGTTCTCGTAAATCGCGTTGACCGCTTCAAAATCGAAACTTTGGATAAAAAGATATAAATACGTGGGAAACGTTCCCGCGAGACTTACCCTTTTACGCGATTGGAGAACGGCAACGCGGCTGTCCCTTCGGCCGCGGATACTCCGCGAACGAATGTCAAAGATTTCTTATCGGTTGCGCAGGAAAAGAATGGTCGTCGTAAAATTAGATACGAACGCGCGTTATCGAATCCTCCGTTATCCATAAAATACTCTTCGAACGAGTACCGCGTTCGGGCTTGGTCAACCTATGGCTATTAACGACATCGAGCACGATGTCTATCGTAAAACGAGTCAGTGACTGACACGCCACTTTTCTTTAACGTTACGGACGGACAAATTATACGTATACTCCTATCTTGATATCCGCCATATTTTGCCTCGGAAGTATTACCTACTCCATTCGTCGCCAACTCATTATCGCTCGCATCTTTGTCCAAGGAAAAACCAAAGGAAACAAGTTTTACACTCGAGAGGAACGTCTCGTTCTAGATATAGCTTAACGTACGTTAACAGAGTATAAAAATATTCGAGCTCTGCGTAATTTCTCGCGACAAGCGACAGGCTAAAAGCTGCGCTGGCCCGAGAGTCTGTCGAGCGTCTGGTTTAACTTCAAACTGGATCTAAGAGCGGAATCGTCCGTCGCGTCGGATAGAAAGAAGCGTAAACGACGCGTGCCACTTATCCATCGTCTTATCGTCCGACTTATGGCTAGCTAGATACCAGAAAGCTCGAACACTCGAGTGCGTCGAGACGGTTTTCGGCGACGTGATGCTCGCGAGTACCATGTCGAACGCTCCTCTCGAGTCGGCCGCTCGGTTCGACTTTCGACCTTCGCCGGAGTAATTCTTTAGAGTTTGTTTCTTTTATCGATGACCGGAACGATTACGTGAAAGACAGCGGATCGGTTATCGATACGCGTAAAAAAGCTCGCGCTCGTAACGAATAACTTTGTACGGACGAAGCACGCGGAATTGTAATTTGCAAAGAACGGCGTATCGAATTTCCTATCGTATCGCGTTACCTACGCGAATACTCGCGCGGGTAATTACCTCTAACGTACGCGAACGCTTCGAATTCGTTTCTCGAAAGCGATCGTTCGAAACGAACAAATAAACGTACCGTTGTTTTTCGAAGATTGGAGATCCGTGGATTCGTTGAGTCATAAGGTAAAGGTAGAAGGAAGGCGGAGGGAGAACTCTCGCGATAAAATCTTTAAGAATCGATGGTATCTCTGTAAAGAGAAGAGGAGAGAAGGGAAGAGAGGTGAATGTGCCGATATCGTAGAAGCATCCCTTCGAAACAGATCTCGCGCCATTAGTCAGACTAGCGATGGTAGGAAGGCAGCATAAAGCAGCATAAACACGGCGGAGAAACGGTGGTGGCGCGGACGAGCAGGGCCGCCCATCATGCGTGGGACACCGCGTAAAAATGAGTTGTGTCAACGTGCTGCTCGAGACCCCCCGCGCGGCTACCACCAGGTGGTCAACTTGTTTTATAATACGTGCTTCGTATATACGGGCTTCTACGTGTTCATCTTTTTCGACCGTCTCGGAATTACACGTACCCGTAACCGTGCTCGCTCGTCTCGAG